AATGAAGGCCATTATTAATATGCCAGAGCAGCGCAAGCAACATCGCACCCTTTTAGTAATGCAAGTTGAAGACATCATTGCTGATCACAAATTCGTAAATAATTATTTTAAGCTTCTTCGAATATTTACTTACGTTCAACGTTTCCGCGACAAACTTCGCAAATTACCAACTGAGCCTGGCGCCATAACCACTCCCGAATTGAATGACTCTTTGATGCTAGTTCTTCGCTACTTCAGCAACAATACTTTCCTCAAGAATACAAGGCGCTGCAGAAAGGCACATTGAGTCCACAGTCTAGTTTAAATCTACTCTCGCCCTTTCTACACAACCAGATAACTCGCATTGGGGGGAGAATCGCCAATTCATCACTGCCATTCGACGCTAAGCACCTCATTGTACTACCGAGGTCACACCCATTCGTTCGCACTATCATCGAACACCTTCATCGTCGTCATTCGCACGCTGGGTGCCAAACGCTGCTGAGCATCGTAAGAGACAAATTCTGGGTCATAAATGCTCGCAGCATAATAAGGCAAGTAGTACACCGTTGCATTTTATGTTATCGCAATAAGCCACAGCTTCAAGAGCAGCTCATGGGAGCGCTGCCACGGGAGCGTGTTGAAGCGTCACATACATTTGCGGTAACGGGCATAGATTATTGTGGACCTTTCTTATCACACAACGCGTACGAGGTAAGGGCCCTGTCAAGGTATACATTTCTGTATTCATTTGTTTTACAACGAAAGCAGCTCATCTTGAGCTTGTTCCTGACTTAACTACCATGGCGTTCATAGCTGCTTTAAAGCGCTTTATCGCCCGTCGCGGTAGATGCCATACGATATTTTCCGATAATGCGACAAACTTTGAAGGAGCGAATCGCGAGCTTAAAGAGATGCTGACATCATTCAAATTCCAACAACACATGCTGCAGTTGAGGGCTTGCTGTATCGGAGATACAGCCGCTAAATTTAACGTAGAATACGTGGTATGGTTAAGAGCATATCCAAGTCAAAAACGAAAGCGCACACTAAGAAAAAAGGGTTTTTTCCAAAGTTCTACAAATTTGCTTACTTCTAAGTGAAAATAACTCAATGAGAACATAAGCGAAAAACATATTTTTATTTTTATTTTGTACCATTGTTATTTTTTAATATCCCAACGGTTTTTACCCTCCATTCCCGCCCATCCGCACGAGGGGCGCAGTCCGCATGACGTACGGAACCAGTATTTTCAATTTTTGCGCCGAGTCACGATAGGCAGGAGTTTGTTAAGTGTCGAGATCTAAAACTGTTCAGCTACAGAACTAAATTCATCAGCCGATTATATGTCTTAATTTTAATGATTCATTTATTGAGAGAGGACAGTATCGATTTCTTAATGCTGAAAAGCGGATCTGATATATCAAACGTGCTGGAATGAGAGTTAAAATCCTGGCATAAGCAACGGGGTGGGTCGTGCAATTCAAAATTAGTTTTACAAGCTTTCAGAAATAGGGGCCAAAAGTGTCTTGATACCCGGGAGGGAACAAGAAGAAGCGGACTTGAAATTGAACCTGTTGGTAATTTAACTATAAAAATTGTACCAATCATTTACCTGCGGCTGGAAAGTGTTGGAAGATTAATAAGTTGCAGCTGATTTGCCGCTATTTAAACTCGACAGCGTGGTTGTTGTTGTCAATTCTATACATCCATTTGCTTTTTTGTGGTTAACGCTTCTGACTTTGAACATCGATTACGCAGGTTCGATCCCTGCTGAAGTCTAGAAAAAAGAAGTCTGATGAGGAGATGTGGTGATCTCCGAAATAGTGCTATAACTTCTACCGCTTAGACTTTGTTGCTTTTTCAATTTTTTCTAATAAACAATCGTGGTACAAAGCTCAATAAAAATATTAAAAATAAAAGGTTAACAAGCCACAATAACATTGACACAACAATTAGTATTATTACTGGGAATCTCTTGAAGATAAGCAAAGTTTTCCGATCGAAAAACATTGATTTTTAAGTATTCTAGACGATTTCTACGAAAAGTTGTTTTTTCCCCATATAAAATACATGGACAACTTTGAGCGCTTTAGCGACCTCTAAAGGTTTTTTTGATTTCAAAATAAAAAATAGGGGTATATTTTTTTCGGTATAGAATAATCCTAGGGGGTGGTGACATTAAAAATCCGCCCTTATTTTTAACCGACTTCCAAAAAAGGAGGTTGGCTATCAGTTCGTCGGAATACTTTTCACGCTGTTTGCAAGTGGACTACTCATATGTGAAAAATGGATTTAAATGGTAAAAAACAGGATTTATATAACTTTCGTGGGATAGGTTTTTGGAAGCTAAAGAAAGGAGTATCGCAAGAAAAAAGGAAAGATGGTATGATTAAGCATGAAGTATATATAAACAGTCGCATTACTACTGGGAATGATTTTTCAGAGAAAAGAATTTTTTCTACAAGTATATCTGAAATGATTCGCATTAAAAAAGATTCTTACAATATTAACGAACAAAATGATACAATTAATTTAAATTCAATTTATTAGGGCTATTCTAGAAATCATACGATTTGAAAACGGTGCGATTTACAAAATATTTTTGAATACATGTTATGAGAGTAATAAATATTTCAAACGGAAACTGTTAAAAATACACCATTTCCGTCATATCTATGACTTGGTAGGTTTTGTAAATCGTAAATCGCCATCGATTTGAAGATTATGCCGGTGGGAAGAATATATCGAGCCCTAACCGCCAAAATAACGTAAGCGACATTTTTTTCAAAATGTTCTTTTTGATGCAGAAATATTCCTAGAGCATCTAGATGCATTTCTGCATCAAAAAGAAAATTTTGAAAAAAAATGTCGCCTACGTTATTTTGCCGGTTAGGGCTCGATATTCATTCTTTAAACAAATAATATCTAACGCGATATCCACTCGTTGCTCTTTAACCAAAATCCATTTTTTATTGTTTTGAGTTCAAGTTCGACAGGAGCAGTGCGGGCTGGCACCCGCCCGAAACCGAACTTAATTGTGGCAAAATACACTGTGCGACAGCCGAAACCAGCCCGGACTTTGTTAACATTTTCAGAAAGTATACCCATCCAGTAGTAAAAGACTCGATGTATTTGCAAAAGTTAGCTCGTATTTTTATTTATGGCCTATTAAATTTTTCATGTCCCGGCGTAAGAGGTTTTCAAACAAGTGGAAAAAATGGTTGAAATAAATGTCTGAGCGAAATTAAAAGTAAAGACAAATATAATAAAACTTCATGGGAAATGTTTTCATAGAACATTTTAACTCATTAGCTCCCGCCCGAATAAGTGGAACCAACCAGTTGATGTACTATAAAAGACAAAAAAGTCTTACAGATACAACGCCTTTCTTTAAATAAATATATATATTTAAAATATATTTGAAAACTTCTTACGCCGGGACATGAAAACTTTAGTAGGCTATGAAATAAAAATACGAGCTTACTTTTGCGAATCCGTCGAGTATTTTACTACTAGATGCGTATACTTTCAGAAAATGTTAACCAAGTCCGGGCTGGTTTGAATTATCATAAAATTGTCGCACATTGATATCAGCCCCCATCTTCATTATTCAGTTAGCACTCAAAAAAATAAGAAAAAAACTTTTCTGCGACTATTGTAATAACCAGGGTACGGATTTTATGGAAATTGCCTTTTTTTCTGCTAAAGAGATAGAGTATATTCGATTAAGAATGTTCACGATATAGCTTTCCCTGATTCCATATATACACATTTGATGTTGCCTTTTTTAAGATAATTGCCTTGTTTTTGACTTTTTTAAGATATTTGCCTTTTTTGGCCTTTTCTACCTTTAAAAAAGTGATTATAGCATTTACAATTTTTTTTTTTTAAGATTGAAAAATATACACATTGCCCATGCGGCTTATAGAAGCGCAGAGACCTCTTGCCAAATTGGTGTTGGAAAAATGCAAAGCCATTTTCTCAGCTAACGTAGGCTTGGAGACAATAAGGGGTGTGGATAAAATTGTAAAGGGCGAGGAAACGCCCTTATTCCTGATAATATGAACGTTTCAAACGTTCCATACTTAAATTGGGCGCCGCTTGTATAAACTTATGTCGAGCGCACATTTAGTACATTCAAGGCTTTTCTTCGCGAAAATCGAATGAAAATGCTGCCAGAAAACTTCAAAATGCATCTTGTGGTTCAATGTTACTACAACTATACAGATTAAAGTTTTATGAGTTAGAAACTCGAAAGGATAAAATAGTCAAAGATTCAAAGTACAAATTTTTCATATGATGAAACTAGTTCATAGTTTTTCTCTTTTTACTTGTAATATAAACATTTCTATTATAAATGTATTTTTTGATTGCTCTTCGTATTTTCTGTCTTTTTAGTGCCTTATATTGCTTTTTTTGCATTACCTAGTGCCTTTTCCTGCCTTTTTCGCTATTTTGTTTTGCCTTTTTTTGTATTTTTTGCAACACCTAGTGCCTTTTCCTGCCTTTTTCGCTATTTTATTTTGCCTTTTCCAGCCTATTTCGTTATTTTATTTTGCCTTTTTTATAGGTTTTTAGGTCCTAAAAATCGGTTCCCTGGTAATAACAAATAAAAACAAACAACCTTGTAGCTCATTCAATTCCAGTCGTTGTAGAATGCAATATATTTTCCTAAAAAAATAAATTAAAACTAATAAATAAAAATATATGGCCGAAACTTGTAAAAGAAAATCGTTTCTAATTATCGGGCCACCAGTGTACCTTGAGTGTTCTCTCTCCTGCATGGTACTAATTTCCTTTTTCAAAGATGAACTTTTAGTTCTTTGATATTATGACCCTAAATACGAATTCTATTTTGTCCATTTTCTCTACTGTACAACTTAAATTTTTTGTTAGTATTTTTACTTTAAGCCAAGTTTTTTAGTGCGTAAGAACCATTTATTTTTGATTTACGAGAGAAGTAGTTAAATATGTATACATGCATACATAATAACAAAATATTTATTTTTATCTTTCAGGCTTCAATGGATTTACCTCCGGACAAAGCGAAATTACTTAAGAACTACGATGATGAAAAGAAATGGGACATAATATGTGATCAGGTGAGTGTCTTTGTTTTCCACCTACAGGCTGAGCGATTTTGTTTTCCACCTACAGGCGAGAATAAAATGATACAACTAGGCGAACAGGATAAACGGGTTTCTTTATAGAAGCATCGACGATTTGCTAGGAATGCAAAATAAATAGCATTTTATGGTGTATGTGTCAATGTATTGACATAAAACTTGCATACGTACACATGTACTTGTGTATTTACATTAGACTGACTCACTCCCCATGCGAAAAAAAAATCGGTACTGTATTTCCATTCTTCTTCTTCTTTTTGGCGCTGTAACCGCCTAAGCGATTTTGGCCGAGTTCAGCAAAGCACGCCAGTCGTTTCTCTTCTGTGCCAACGCCAATTGGAAACGCCAAGTGAAGCCAAGTCCTTCTCCACCTGATCTTTCCATCGCAGTGGAGGCTCCCTCTTCCTCTGCTACCACCAGCGGGTTCCGAGTTTAATACTTTCAGAGCTGAAGCGTCGGTGTCCATTCGAACGACATGGCCAAGCCATGTATTTCCAAAATATTTCTGAAAATATCAAATATGATTTACGTGAGCTTGAATGCCTTCAAAAATTTATTTTTTTTATGACCCCTCAGATGACAAAACAGTTTAAGCTTAAAAAATTTGCATACAAATATTGAAATAAAGTTTCAACGGAATCGTATTAATGGGATTTTTGATGCTGTTTTTTAACTCTTTTCAAAGATTGGTATAAGAAAGACTTGAATAACTGGACCAAAACTATTCCGAGGAGGTATCATAAGAAAGGCATTTTCTCGCCATTTTTATTTCTTTAACTTATGGTGATTTTGTTTTTTACAAAAAATGTTGCCCTTCACCGGTGCAAAATGTGTTTGATGTTGCACTCAACCCTGTAAAAAGGCCTGATTTTGTCCCCTTGTTCTTGTCTAGCCCACGCATTTCATAATATTGTCGTATTAAACAACCATCTGATTTTCAGGGCAACGATCTCCCCTGACAAAGCTTCACAGGGCAGAGAATGTGCCTTTTTTGTTTAACATTTTTTTTAAGAAACGAACACAAAATTTTCTCACCCTTTGCCTTTAGTTTAGAATCGAACATGAAAAGAGAAAGGGGCAATCAAAAGGCGACATTTTTTGGTAGAAACGAAATGACCATTAATCATAAATTATGGAAATAATATTTATTTTTTATTAAAGTTGAAATACCTATACCCTAATCCACAACTTGTTGTCCTGACATATATAATATATGTATAACTTTCAGCTGCGGAAAACTGCGGATTTTATTCCTACCTTCATATACTAATGTTGGCATTTATGGCACTTTTAAAATAATCCCATCTTTCCCGTTTTTAGGGAGTTCACTTTATAGTATTATTATTATAAACATATGGACACATTTCTCATCGGTGCGCTCTTTATGAAATTTTAAGGCGATTTTGAGGTTAGGTTTGTATGGAAGATATGCTTAAAATAAACCGTTCACGACCTTTTTTTCGTGATTTATCAGGCATGTTCTGCAAATTGTACGATTTCAAATCGGTGCGATTTGCAAAGTATTGTTGTATATCTTTAATCAAAGTATTAAATGTTTCAATTGGAAACTGCTAGAAACACATCATTTACGTTATGTCCATCGATTTAGCGCCAAATTTATCCCTCTTTGTTATATATCCTACGAAATAGATTTTGTAAATCGCACCGATTTGAAATCGTACGATTTGCAGAACATGTCTGTATGTCCGCAAATGTTACAAAAAATGAAAGCCCTACGCCAACTCCTGATTTTTTTCTAAAAAATGTATTGGGCGGCACCACTGTGCGGCGCGAATGGCATAAGAGATTTTAGGTTCGAATCTTCGGGTAGCGGGTGTTTTTTTTTGCTAAATGCTTTTTTATTTATTTGTTCAATTTGGGTATTCATCTTAACGTCTTAACGTAAACCTAGTAACTAAGCCGGTTGTCCATACAAAATTATTCAAGTTTACGAGGCTTACGTGGTTACGAGTCATTTACGCGTTTATACATATGAATTGCGATAATGTATTTTTTTATTTATGTTATTTATTGTAATTTTTAAATTATATTGCTTTAAAAACATATATTTTTTTTATTTAATTTAATTTTTATGGTACCAGTGCAATTTGAAAAGTCAGTGACTTTTTTTAATAGATGATATATTTTTCGGCAAAAAAAGCGTTTTATTTCTCCTTTTAGCTCGATACATTCAGTCCAACGTTTTTCAATTCCTTCCCAATGATACGTTTTCAAGGTGCTTAAAATAAGCGTTTGTTTCAGTGATGACCTCTTCATTCGACCCAAATATCTTCTCTGGGTTTGGAAACAGGAAATAGTCACTGGGAGCTAAATCAAGATGGGGTAGAAGGTCGTAGCTCAATTGATGGATTTTTTCTATGGTGACTACACACGTGTGCACCAGTGTCTAACAGCACTTATTTCTTGGCCAAATGTGGTCGTTTTTGTTTCAAACCAATATCGAACCTGTCCAAAGCCTCTGAATAATATTCGCCAGTGATCGTATTGCCTTTTCAAGATAGTCGAAGTGAATGACACCGTGTGCATCCCAAAAGATTTCTACATTTAAAAACTTTGAAAATTAACCTTAAATATTTCCAATATTACTACAAAAACCTTTATACAAATAGTCGTGCCCAATTCGCAGAGTTTTGCAATTTTGTAACCCAAGTCAAAATTTACTTCAGTTTTTGTAACATCACGCCAGCACATATGCTTACTAATATCTTTAAATCGCTACTACAAACAGTTTTAATTTTTTTTACTGAATAAAGGGGCATTTAATTGCTATGCAAATCTAGATAAACCTTTTTAAAATTTAGACTTTAAATTTTGTCAAACGAGCGTCACGTAACGCCAGATTGGAAATACCCATAAACTTTGGATTTTATATGTAAAGAAATTTGGATATATTTTGAGCTTTAAAGAGCACAAATGTGTACTATCTTAGGTTGGCATATGGCGGAATTTCGACCCGCGCCTTCGGTGATATTAATTAACACATTTCCCTCTACATAAGCTAACACTTCTTAAAGTGCAAAATAGTCATATTAATTAGAAATGGAGACCAATATTCAGATTCAATTTTTTGAATTTTTCATCGATGTTTGGAATATCGAGTCTTTTTATCCCGATATTAATGCGTTTCCGATATTGTTGCTTTGAATGAGTATTTCGGTTCGATATATGCTCCCTATGTGGAAATGAACTGATCGCCTATTTTTTTTTAACGCAATGACACGCAACGCAACGCAGTATTTACTTCTACACAGCCATTTCCTATATACATAAGTTTCAGTTCTGTAAATTGTCGTAATGAAAGCAATCTGCGTAATAAAAAAAAAAATAACATACATACATACATAATATTACATATATAAGTAGGTACATATATGGGTATATAAATTTGTGAGAACAACACAAAGATTTCATATAAGAAAAGATATCTAAATTAGTTCATGACTGAATAGCTCTTGGAGTCATGCTAAGAACTTTTAGCCTGTAAGGTTAAGTGTAAATTTGTTTATTCATTCATTAAAATGAACTGCATAAACACTTGTTCTTTCTTTTAATTGAGGTTTCAGTAGGAAACTGCTTCTTTTATGGCAATAACAGCGATTTCTGATATGAGGTGTCACTGGAAAAATTTAGGCACAGGTACATACATAGATACATACATACGTATATATATTATATATGTATATACATATATACTACAAAATATTCCTAAATGTGGAAATATTGCTTTAATAGATCAGATGAAAAAGCTTCTGCGATGTGCAGAACGAAAGCGCATGCAAACAAAAAAATCCCGAAACAAATGCACATACGAGTATGAAGTAAACAAAATACCAAAATATGTATTTTTTGTTTGAATAAAAAAAAAACAAGATTTGGTAATTTTTTTTTTCTCAGTGCAAAAACTGTCCTTAACCGCAGAACTCCACAGGCAAACACCGATGGCCTACCAACTGTCATTTTGACGAGCAATGTGATTGCAAGTTTTTGTGTGTGGGCACTTTGATGTCTTGAAATAAGCATTTGCCGCATGACGCCACCAGACAACATTCTCTCAATTTCGGTGTTTAAAAACATTTAAATCTTTAAAAAACTTGCTGAATAATTTCCTAAAACGTAATCATAAATAATCCAATAAGGAACAGACTTTTATTTTGATTTAATATAAAAATTTCATCGATGTTACCACCAGCACGCTTTCTTTCAAATGAAAATATGGCTGTCAAACTATTGAATTGCCTGCAATAGATGTCAAGCAATAAGCGCTGACATATATTGCAGCACATGAGGAATAGGCGGTCTCCATTGGAAATATATTATGTGACATAGTTTTCACATCAGTGTTTTCCTGTCACGGTGGGCAGGAAGCGAAGATAGGTTGCATAAAAATGTCGACAAAATCTGAAAGCAGGGTTGTATTTGTTGATATCTTAAGGTTAAGAATCCGCTTAAATTGAAATCCTAGCTGCTCCTGTTTTAAAGATATCCACATTTTATATACTTCTGAGAGGATATATTTGCAAAAGAGGAAGGCGTACTTCTCGATAATTAGAGCATATTTATACGAAAAGAAATCTCATACAAATCTGTTCCCCTTTTTTAACTCACTAAAACGGATCAAATCAATGTGAAACATTTTCATTTTTTCCTACCGAAAGAATAATTGATCGAGATTTATTGGGCGCTACCGGTATACAACTTAGATAAAACACCACAATTACCTTTTTCTGTAGCGTGAACTTTCTCATTACAAACACTTTCAATATCGCAATATATGTATATATGTATACAATATTGTATGCTATATAATACGGTAGTAATTTTTTATTAAAGGTTTGTTGCTATAAGCAAGTAGCGCAGGCAAGTGGCACTGCGCTTGTGCAAGAAATAAAAATGCTCTAACTTAGGCCAACGGTACTCCGCATAATAAGTAAATAAATTCAAAGCTTGTATGAGAT